CACCAGGTCCCCAACCCATCCCCCAGCGGTGTTGGCAACAGGCCTTCTTCCGCTGAGTACCTTAGCATAACAAAATAACCAAACAACAACCAAAGTATTTACAGAGTAGGACCATGCCCTATGTGTGGCTTGGCACTTCATCCAAGTGCCTTGGGGGTAGAAGCTAGTCGCTCCTTTGCCTGGAAGGTTTCTTGCGCTCCGCGTTGGCCTTTTGTCTGTGGCAGTACGTATCTTAATGGGAGTTATATATATTATTATTATTTTTTTTTATATAATATCTCTCCTGTGATATTTTATGTGACCCCTATTCTGGATGACATGGTGTGGCGTAGTTACCTCTGAGGGATCCCAATCCTTCCACTACACAGAGTTCACGCTTATTACTACACCCTGGCGTCACACTCACATTACTCATGGTTGCTAGGGATATAGCTAGCTATGTGCGAATCTTTGGGTATCAGTCATCACATTAACATAAACATTTACACATTGTGGTACTTGCGGCTCGGCAAAGTCTGTGGTTTTGGGCCCTCTCAGGCCACACGATTGTACAGTCTACATGCGTTTCGCTCTTTTCCATCCCGGTGTTATCCTTCTTAGCTCTTTGGACCGATTTTGCTGGTGTTCACTCTCTATTCCCCATTCTCTCAGGATATCTGTCCCTTCCTCCGGTGTTGAGATTACTGTGGTCTTTCCTGCCCTTTGCACCAGCAGCTTGACCGGGTATCCCCACCGGTATAATATGCGTTGTTCTCTGAGCACTGCCGTGATGCCCTGGAATTCTCTTCTTCTCTGAAGGGTGAACGATGAGACATCCGCAAAAATCATGATGCTTCTGTACTGCTCCGGTAAATCTTGGCGTGTTCTACTACCCCTTAGGATAGCTTCTTTGGTATGATAATAGTGCATACGCACCAGTATGTCCCTGGGTGCATCTTGGGGCAGGAACTTCGGTCTCGCCGTCCTGTGTATACGGTCAAAGAGGAGCATGTCCTGTGGAATGTCTGGCACCAGTGCCTTGAGGTAAGCTGTAACATGTGCTGGCAGATCAGATATGCTCACCGTTTCTGTCACCCCCCGCAGCCGCAAATTATTTCGGCGGCTTCTATCCTCTATATCCGCCAGTTTTATCTCTTGAGCTGTGAGGCGTTCCTCCATTTGCTGCAGCCGGTCTGCCATCTCATTATGTGCTTCTTCTGCTGTAGTTAATTTCTCCTCTGAGAGGTTCTGGAGCCGAGATCCACCAGGTCTTTGCGCAAGTCACCTATGGAAGACTGCACACTGTGCATGATTTTCAGCGACATCCCGTCTAGCATGTGCTGCATTATTGCCTGTGTCAAAGGCCCCTGATCATTAGGCGCGCTCTGGGTTTCCTCACCACTCTCCTCGGCGCCATCTTGGATCCCCGCCAGCAGAGCAGAATCTCGCGGCGCGGCTTGTATAGGGGCAAAAAACTGCGACTTGTCCGCTTTCTCTGCCTGCCGCTTGGTCTTGGGGTGAGACATTATGCCGTTTGTGTGTGTATACTGCCCTTTCCGCTGTTGCAATTGCTCAATTTAGGCCTTCTGGCACGGAGCTTCGGTTACATGAGGCTGCTCCCGTCGGTGTCCAGGCCACGCCCCCCCAAAAATATATATTTTTTAACATTCTCTCCACTTTGAACGAAATGACGTTTGGGAAGAGATTAACATAATTAAACACAGGCAGTAAAAATACAGTTTTTAGCCATACCCTGTAACTTTAAAACTACACATCCCATCTTCATAATTACATATTTGGAATCCGCACACTTTAAACATAACCAAAAATCAGCCAAATACATCCAGGGGTTAAAAAGTTAGCTGGAGGTCCCATTATGACCGACCGCAAGCACATTTTCCTGCCCAAAACAGTTCCATAGATTTGGGCTGTGAGGTCGGTCTATTTCAGGCTGAAAAAACGACTAAGTTCCATCGCCGAATGGGACTTAGTCTCTGCAGCTGTAAAACCAGTAGGGGAGAAGGTAGAGCTCAGCGGTGTTCGCGGAAATGTGTAGCCGATTTTTAGTTCCATGAATTTGGCTACACATACCGCTGACCTCGTCGAATGATCAAAGATGGCCGCCGCCACGTGTTCGGCAAACGAACAAAGACCTCCCAGCATTGTAAATTAAGCTGCGGTTAACCGCAGCTTCTGGGAGGTAAATTGCCTGCACACTTCCACTTCTGGGTGGTCTGCCTGTGTGGTACTTGGTTCAGTAAGCCCCATTTACTGAACCAAGTGGGAAATAACCAGGCAGGCACAAAGGGTTTGCACCAGGTCTGGGGACACAGGGGACACCGTCTTAAAGGGGCAGTGTCCCCAACAAGTCTGGGGACACGGCCTTAAAGGGGCAGTGTCCCAATCTTCCTGATGTCCCCAAAAAGGTGTTTAAAGGGCCAGCACCAGTCACATAAAGAGTCCATAAGCCCCAATATGCCCACCGACAGTCTTAAAGGGCCATACACACCAAATAAAGTGCATACATTTTCACAATCTCCCAGGGGCCATAGTCATGCGGGAGGAGGCTGGCAAGTAGGCTTCTCCACAACCCAGGGAAGCAGGGCAATTTGCCATTTAAAGGGCCTGTTACAAATAGCAGTTTGTAACAAGGTGTCAATCCATATCTGCCAAGTGACCCTATGTAGGGGGACCAGTCCCTATTCTGCTCTGTGTCAGTGTGTATCAGGGGCTCTGAGGACAGGTGTCAATCCATATCTGCCAAGTGACCCTATGTAGGGGGAACAGTCTCTATTCTGCTCTCTGTCAGTATGTATCATGGTCTCTGAGGACAGGTGTCAATCCATATCTGCCAAGTGACCCTATGTAGGGGGAGCAGTCCCTATTCTGCTCTGTGTCAGTAACAGTCTCTATTCTGCTCTGTGTCAGTGTGTATCAGGGATCCTTAGGATAGGTGTCAATCCATATCTCCCAAGTGACCCTATGTAGGGGGAACAGTCCCTATTCTGCTCTGTGTCCGTGTGCATCAGGGGCTCTGAGGACAGGTGTCAATCCATATGTCAAGGTGTCAATATGTCATATGTCAGGTGTGAATCCATATTCATTGTGATTTAGGAATGTTAGGTGATTTCTGCCCTTTATGGATTAAAACCAGACTCTTCATCAACTGTGTAATTTTCCATGGGGAGTTTTGCCATGGATCCCCCTCCGGCATGCCACAGTCCAGGTGTTGCCGAGCAACTTTTCCATCACTATTGTGGCCAGAAAGAGTCCCTGTGTGTTTTAAAATTCGCCTGCCCATTGAAGTCTATGGCGGTTCGCCCGGTTCGCCGGTTCGCGAACATTTGCGGAAGTTCGCGTTCGCCGTTCGCGAACCGAAAATTTCGGGTTCGCAACATCACTAATGGTCTGTAAAGGAAAACATGAAATGTAGGTTATATACATATGTATATGACTGTGCAGGAAACGTATGATTGGTTGGATCAGTACGTGTGATTCAACCAGAGTATGCATGAAAAAGGAATTAAGCCTTATGTGTCATTGTCATGACAGAGAAATGAGGCCTGTAATATAGGCTGAGTGAATTGAAATGAAATGGATAATTATAAAACTCCTGGCGTGGGAGTTCAATGATCTGTACCGAAATGTAGTTGGTTTTATAGAAAGGGACATGGATGAGGTCATGGCCTATTTTACACAGCATTATGTATGATATATAGCAGAATAACCAAAGGCAGGGCCCAAAATGATGCAAAGTGATGTATATCTATATGATATATTTGTATTGAAAAGACGTATCAACCCGAGAATTATTGCTTAAATGAACCTGTATCCTTTGTATGTGTTGTAGTAATAACACAGAAGTGAGGCCTGTAACATAGGCTGAGTCCATTTGTATGAATGGATAAGTAATGCAGACCCCTGAAAGCGTGGGAGTCAAATGGTCTATACAGATAAGTGGACTTGATTTGTGGACGTAATACAATACTGACAATATTTGAAAGTAATAGAAATAAACTATTTAAACAAGCAATTCTTAACCGAACGTTATATACACATGAAATGGTGAATATAATGCATGAAAGGATTATACGTAATACATAGAAATAAAGCCGAAAGCAAATGTGAGGGAAACACAGAAGTTAGAATAGTTTAACTGTATGACATTATGCGAACCGAAAGCGTGTTTGAGCGTATGTGAAAATTGTCGAACGGCAAAACAACCGAATGATAATTCGTTTCAATATAACATGAATTAGGATATGCGAAATGACTATTGAACGATTAAATTGTTCAGCCGAATGACCGTACGAATGAAAAAAGCCCGCGAATGGCTTGAAACATTCGTGTCATAACCAGGGAAAAACCGTAAAGCGAGGACCCGTGCTGTACCGTACGCCGTGGGAACCGGTCCTGGCGTGACAGGTAGGTCTGACTTACGGTTTAGGAGTCCCTGGGACGCGATCTACGACGAAGACCGGAGTCAGAAGAAGCTGGACGGGCGGAAAGGCCTGAACAGGATTCCTGGACACAGCTAGCGTGGTGAAAACCTTGTGGATACTGAACCCAAGATGGCGTCTGAGAGAACCCGGAAGTGGATCCTCATTCAATGCTGACCTCGAACGGTAAGGAGCAAGGTAAGGGGAGTGCCTTAAGTAGTAAACCAGCACCTCCCACAAATCCAGGCAAATTGCCTTAATACATATATAATTTTTTTTTTTTTTGGGGTAGCCCCCAAAATATTGGGACATACAAAAAAAGAAAACTGTTCCGCAGAGCGACTGATCTGTGCGTGCTGCATCCCGAACTCCACTATCGCCTGCTGCTCGCACAGTCGCAAGAGGTAGTGAGAGGGAAGGCCCGAAGTTACGATGTAGCGCAGACAGGCGAGCAGCAGAAGGGTGATCGCCAAAAGCCCGCACTTTCTGCAGCAGCTCTGATATATCTGGGTATACACCATGGCATCACAAGGGCCACCCAGAACTGGCTCAACTCCCATCAAGCCAAGTTCCCGGAGATCACCCAGCTAGTCATGCTAGAGCACTTTTTCAATGAGCTCCCTAACGAGAAGGCGACAACATTCGTATGTCAATCCATATCAACTTTTGATGCCATTGACTGCGCCTACCATGGTGACCACGGGTAACGGAGAATCGGGGTTCGATTCCGTACAGGGACCCTGACAAACTGCTACCACATGCAAGGAAGGCAGCAGGCGCGCAAATGACCCACTCCCGACGCGGGAAGGTAGTAATGACAAATAGCAATACAGGACTCTTTAGAGGCCCTGTAATTGTAATGAGTCCACTTGAAATCCTTTAACTCTGATTAATTGGAGGGAAGTCTGGTGCAGAGCCACTGACCCATGCCTGCTGCTGCTCAAACAGTCTCTCCAGCATGTGCAAGGTAGAGTCCCACCTTGTGGGCAAGTCGCATATGAGGCAGTGAGCGGGAAGGCCAAAGTTACACTGCAGCGCAGACAGGCGAGCAGCAGCAGGGTGAGAACGCCGAAAGCGCGCACAGCTGCTACAGTGAATATCACATCCTGTTCCAAGTTGCGGATCAGTCTGGTGATGGCTTCTGGTATCCAGTACTCTTTTTACTGAAGGTGCATCAGGGTCCTAGTATGTGGCCGCACAAACGCTGGTGCTCAACACCAGGGGGCGTGCGGTTACCCTGCACCAGATCCTGCTAATCCATTCCACACTGTGACTCCTAACTTCAACATCAGGCATACTGGGTCCCGGTCGTCCAACCACCGCCCAGACAGTGTCTGGGTCCCGGTCACCGGACTGCGCAACTGCGAATGGATCGTTAAATCTAAATCAATAGATAGGTGCACAATATGGAGTTGACAAAGTATCAAGTGAAGCTCAAACACCTTGAGTGGTATCCCCTAAACCACCTCTACAAGATACATAGAAAAACATACATACATAAGATGGAGCTTCTTGTATAAACGTTCAGAAAATGTCTGCAATAATATAAATACAAAACACAAATAGCGCAATATTGCTATAACAGAAATAATCTATATAAAGGCGTGTATAGTGCCACTCACAAGTCAAGAGTCATAAACCACATATTACTCAGATGGTAAGCGCTTGTGGACAATTTCAGGATGCCCAATCCTTTCTTTTGCTCACGATTCTGCTGGAAACCTGGTTCCTTAGACTTCTTGAAGTAGTGCTGGTCGTCCAGTGCTCCCAATATTAGGTGTGTATATATAGGGTACCACAGCCAAGGTCTCATAAATAATGCCTTTATTGGTGATCCCTAACACATATATACTAAAAAATAATAAAATTTATATAAAATGAATATAAATACCAGGTACAAATGTCCAAAATGCGTTTTCGCCCTTAAATGGGCTTCCTCAGTTGGTTGGTTGTCTCTTCTCCTTACTTGGCTATTTTAAATAGTTTGTCTCTGACTTCTGGGTTCCTCATTCCCGGTATTACTTCACTTCCGGGTTCCGGCTATGTGGCTCCTTAAATCTGTTATGGTTCTTTTTATCGCTTCAACTGTTACTTGGATAACTGGGAATTCTAAAGATAATACATGCCGACGAGCTCTAGGGGACGGCCGCTCCGCTTTTTCACCCTGCTCCCGCTTATGCTGTGCTGGTGCCTCTGTGCGACCAGCACCTCTTTCTCCAAACTGCACACGTCACTCACATCACCTTGATTCCATGTGGGGTCTAGGACCTCATCATCCTCCACATCATCTTCCACCCACTCCTCAACCCTGCCCTCCTTGCCGGTATGCACACTGCAGAAAGCCACAGCAGTTGGCACCTGTGTTTTTCCAGCATGTAAAGTCTGCAAAGGACATATGGAAATTGTTTTACAATTGTATCCAGGCAACCGTTTTCCCCCATACACTGACCTCTCTTTGACTTGTGAGGGTATTGCCCCAGCATTACAATATTGTTTAAGTACTTCTTAGCTATTGATAACTGTTTAATTATAGCAGCTTATCTAGTAGTTTCCAGTGTAGAAAATATCAATCTGTTTTCTATCACTTTGATCTGTGTAACAAGTGTTGTAGGTGTGAAACAATATTACAAGTGACCGATGTAGTAATTAAAGTTACGCTTCGATTTGACTCTCAGATATGAAGAGCAGGCACCAAAATGTACTACAAAATGTACTAATTAGCAGATTAGCCGCAAAACAATTAGAATGTTTACAAGTGCGCTGTAAGCACGCTATTAGACGCTTCGATTTGACTCTCAGATATGAAGAGCAGGCCACAAAATGTACTATTTAGTACCAAAACAATTAGAATGTTTACACCTGCGCTGTAAGTGCACTATTTGATGCTTTTATTTGACTCTTAGAAATGAAGTGCACCCCACTAAAATACTATTTAGCAGTTTAGCACCCAAAATTTTTTAAGTTTTAAAACTGCAATGTGACAGCAGTATTTGACGCTTCTATTTGACTCTCCGATATGAAGTGCACCCCACTAATGTACAAGTTTGCAGAATTCTTTCCTAAGCTGTCCCTCACAGCGGCAGCATCCTCTCCCTACACTAAATAAGACCTCGTGTGTGCGGAGCTACGTGACTCCAGCTTATATATAGAGGCTAGGATCACATGCTGCACTGGCCAATCACAGCCATGCCATTAGTAGGCATGGCTGTGATGGCTTCTAAAGGCACACGAGTCAAACGCTTGTTGATTGGCTGCCCTGCAGCCTTTGAAAACGTGCCATTAAATCGCCGAACTCCAACCCGAACATACAGTCATATGTCCATGTACGGGTCCGGGGTCCAAAAATCGCAATGTTCGGTACGAACCCGAACTTTACAGTCCGGGTTCGCTCAACCCTAAATAACAGAATAATTTAAACCTTAGCAGCGTACCTCTTTCTAGTTCTACCTCTTTAGTCACACCCTATTTAGCACAGAAACTTATATTGTCACACTGCTTATTACACTACCTCTTTCTGGTTTTACTACTTTTCAAACTGTTTCTGGTTATGTTTTGCTTAAAGCGGCACTGTCATGCTGAACTTACCTTTCCCCAATCACATTCTCTTATCTTCCTCTCTTAGGATCTGTTCGTCTTTTCTTCCTGTCTGATCTAGTGTTCTTTAAAACATAAGACAAAGTAGGGACTTCTTATGTATATATCCTACGCTTGACTAGATTTGACCCACTTCCTGTGGTCAAATAAATTTTCCCACAATACTCACCCTTTCCTCCGTGATCTCACGATGCCTCCTTTCAATATTCTCAAACGTAATGTCATATAGACAGGACGCTGTCGAAACTTCCAAATTTCGTCCTAACTGAATAAGTATAGTTTTGTTTATTCAGGTTAGGACGCATTTGTTACTTTCTGATCGGATTGGAATTTTATCCGAATGAATGATATTCCGATCCTATTCGTGCCACGGCTGCATTTTGCAGCCGCTTAGTAAATCGCGCCCTAATTCCCATGGTATTAGTAAGCAATCTACTAAAAGGCTGAAAGACCAATTTTGGTCTTTCAGTCACCTTTACTAATACTAAGTAAAAAAGCCAGTGGTGGCTCAATGTTGTTAAAAAAAAAATAAAAGTAAACAAAAAAGCCCCACTCCTATTCAAATAATTAACGGGGGGAAGCACATAGTGCCCCCACCCAGTCCCCATGAGTGGGAGCTATTAAACTACACTGGGGATCTAATGTCCCCCTTGGCCCCCCACCCATGAGTGGCAGGTGAAAGCCCTCCGTGACAAGGTGGGGGGGGACCTCCTGCCCAATAAAAGTGCTCTGATAAAATCCAGAACCCCCAAAATCGCCTACCTTGAGGGTACCAAGGGGAAAAAAGTACTGGACCCACAACATATAGCAAATTAATTTGCTAACTACTATAGCAATCTATATAATCTAAAGACAGACCCACAAGTAACAATCCCCATCACTGCAGACAGACACCTTCCTCTTAGACCTCAATCTCCCCACCTTAAGCAAAGAAGATTTGATTGGCTCCCTTCCAGCACACAAAGCCCCAGGCCCTGATGGTCTCCCGCACGCCTACTACCGTACATTCCAAACAATCCTGTCCCGGCATCTCCTTAATCTTTTTCATTATAGCATAGAAAAGGGAACCCTACCAAAATAACTTTTACTAGCCCACATCTCTAAGCTCCCTAAACCAGGGATATCCCCCACAGTGTGTAAGAACTTCAGACCCATTTCCCTGCTCAATTGCGACGCAAAGCTATATGCGAAGCTCCTTAGCAACAGACTGGCACGATTCCTACCCAAATTAATACACAATGATCAAACCGGGTTTGTAAAAGGGAGACAAGGGTCAGACAATTCCATAACGGTGCTGAATATCCTAGTGGGACTGGAGAGAGAGAGACTTGGCATTAGATGCAGAAAAGGCCTTTGACAGGCTGAACGGGTACTCTCCAAGTTTGGTTTCCCCACAAGCACTCACAGAGATAATCATGGCTTTGTATGCACTCCCAGACGCTAAAATATCATGTGGTGGTTTCCTTTCCGACACCTTCCCCATCACCAATGGGACCCGACAGGGGTGCCCACTCTCCCCACTGCTCTACATTCTTTCCCTGGAACCACTAGCACAAAAAATAAGATCACGTATACATAAAGGGCATTCACATGCATGGGAGGGATAATCGCCTTGCCCTCTTCGCAGACGATATCTTCATAACACTCTCAGACCCACACCAAGCACTGCCCCACAGTCTGGCTCTTTTGCAGAGATTTGGGGAAGTGTCTCACTACAAACTGAACCAAGACAAAACGCAAGCATTACCCATAGGGTTACCAAAGAGAACAATAAGGGAGTTATGAGATTCCTATAAATTTGACTGGAGGGAGTCCCACACCTCCCCTACCTCCTTTCCCCCTCAGCCTTGTCCCCTACTCACTACCATATTCTTCAAATTCTACGAGGCACTACGAGAAAAGTGTACACGGACGATAATGTTCGATTTAACAACTATGTATAATATTACTGAACCCCCCAACATGGGGTCTCCAACACAAAAACAGGGGTTTCAATCCCAAGAAGCTGAAGGGAAGCGAGGATAGAAAAAAACATCTAGGTTAAACTGAGCTGGTAGTGTCTCTGTGGCAACGTCCTGCTATGACAGGAAAAGGGGGGAGAGGTCCAGGCAGACACTACACAATTACAAAAGGAGGGGGCCCACAGCTGCATATACAGGCACAATACATGAAACATAATACAAGGGGAAAACAACGAACAGCCGGGGATCTGTCACACGTAGG